ATGGAAGTATAAATCTCTAAATATTTTTTTAATTTCCATATAATATTTTGAATGCCAGGGAACAGAAAAACTGTATCTTGTGGGTAGAAGTTACATAATAAAATCAGCTAACATTTGCATATATGCCATACCCTACTTTGGGCCCTTAAGTATCTCACTCAGTCCACACAATAACAGGGTGAAGTCTCACTTTAGCAGTATAAAGGCATTGGGGCTGGAGCGATAGCACAGCGGGTAGGGCGTTTGCTTTGCACGGTTTGACCCAGGTTCGATTCTCAGCATCCCATATGGTTCCCCGAGCACCGCCAGGAGTAATTCCTGAGTGCAGAGTCAGGAGTAACCCCTGTGCATCTTAGGGTGTCACCCAAAAAAAGCAAAATCAAAACAAAACAAAAAACAGTATAAAGACATTTGGGCCCACTTCAAAGTTCAGAAAGGTTTAATAATTTTATCCAAGAACTAATAGCAAAAGGCAGAAATGGGATTCAAACAAAAATCTAACTCAGAGCCCAAGTTCTTAACAACCAGACCAGTAAAACCATGGCAAATTAAGGATTTTACCTCAATGTAACCAAATACTTTTTGACTTAAGAATGATCTCTTACACCAACGGTCACGGTTATGGTCATTGTTCTTCGATTTGCTCGAGCGGGCCCAGTAATGTCTCCATCATGAGACTTGTTACTGTGTTTGGCAAAATTACACCAAGACTATTAATGCCACCATCTCTACCCTATCTATCAAGAAATAGATCCAGCAAGTCCTCCTTCAAAACCTTTCAAGGAGTCTGTGTTCTAACTCCTTTATAACATACAGATCTTACTGAATTTCTTTACACATGAGAATCAGTCATTCAATCTTTTTCTACTTAGTAAACTCCTAGAAAGTGGGACAGCCAGCTTCTCACATCTACATTGCCATGAACTCTCACACATAACGAAGCTCAATAAACCTTTCTGAATGGTGATTGAGGCTCTGTACCATTCCCATTCTTCAAAATCCACACTAGAAAGGATATTTAAGAACCTACAAGACATGCAATTTTTTTAATTGAATCACTATGAGATAGACCCTTACAAAGCTGTTCATGATTAGATTTCAGTCATACAGTGTTCCAACACCCATCCCTCCACAAGTGTACATTTCCCAGCACCAGTGTCTTCAAGCTCCCTCCCATCAGCCTCCCCTCCCCCAACCCCCGCCTCTATGGCAGGCACTTTTCCCTTTTTCCTTTTCTTTCTCTCCCTTCCTGCCTCCCTCCCTCCCTCCCCCTCTCTCTTACCCCCCCCCCCACTTTGGGCATTATGGCTTGTAATATTGATACTGAAAGCTTAAGAGACGCAATTCTTATATTTAAGCAGATAGCAATACTGAATATTTTCAGTTTTTCCAACTTTCAATATCCGAATCAGAAAAAATCAGAAAAGGGGCTGGAGAGATAGTACATAAGGTAGGGCACTTGCCTTCCATCCAGATTCAACTTAGGTTTGATTCCTAGCACCCTATATGTCTCTGAGCACCTCCTAGGAGTGATTCCTGGGCATAGAGCACCTTGAGTACTGTCAGGTCTGATGTTAATTTCCTTCCCTCCAAAAAAAGAAGACTCGAAAATGAATAGATATCTATAGAATATGCATTTACCTGGGTGCTCAACTAACCTGTAGTCTACTAGCTATATTTTCAAAACCCCAAGGACCCATTTCATTAAGACATATCACATCTCTGTGATATGTCCTAAGCAGAACACATCACTTATATAGCTACATATAACTATGCATGTGTACCTATAAATTTTTGTATTATAGCGACCTCAGTTATACATAGTTATATAACTGAGATCATGTATAGTTATCATGTATAGTAAGAAATTAAGCAAACGTCTACCAAGTTCCTGATACCCTGAAGTCAGCACAAGGAAATCTAAATCAAGGACCTCTTTTCTGTCTCTCTCTCTCTCTTTCTCTCTCTCTCTCTCTCTCTCACACACACACACACACACACACACTTATGAACACACATGTGGTAAAGCAAATAATGCTCTACATAGTGGTTCCCAAGAAATGCCCAGTATGTCTGCCAACAAATATACTAGTTGGAGGCACCAGAATCTGGCATCCTTTAGGAAAGTGTGATGTAGTCAAATAGAAAAAAAAAAAAGGAGAGGGGTAGTTCTTGTATGTATGAAGAGAGGTCACAAAAAGTGGAATAGGGCAGAGAGGAAAAAATCCTTAATATTAGTTGAAGCCACCCTTGAAGGGACAAACTGTGGGGTTTTTTTTAAACACTATGTTAACTTTTAAAAATTCCACCTCTTCTGGTATAGAGAAGGGATCACTAAGTCAATGACGGTTGGAGGGATCGCTTGGGATGGGAGATGTGTGCTGAAAGCATACAAAGGACCAAACATGATGGCTTCTCAGTACCTGTATTACAAACCATAATGCCCATAAGTGGGTGAACAATTCAACACTTGGTGAATTCTGCTTCACAATGATAGGAAGAGCCAACATCGAAGGATCAAAAAGTGACATCGCTATGAATGCTTGGCTGCCACAAGCTAGTTATTCCTGTGGTAACTTTTCTGACACCTCCTGCTTAAAACCCCAAAGGTCAGAAGGATCGTGCCTGCACCTGCGCCTGGCTGTCCTCACCGAGGCCCTTGGAGGGAAGCGGATTGAGTTTCCCTCCCCACCCCGAGCAGAGCCCCGGCAGCTGAAGACTTCCAGAACCAGCCACAGCCATGCTTAAGACCACTCTCCACATGCTCAGAGGAGCCTCACGCATGAAGGAACCGGCAGAGGAACCCAGGTGTGCGGGACCCGGGGCTGAGATCTTCTAGCTTGCTCAGATCAGGACTGGGTCTCCTCCTCCACCCAGATCCCCCATCTTCCAGTAGCTAGGCTTTACACCCACCAACTGCTCCCGGCACCATGTAATCCCATCAATAGCCAAGATCCAGAGACTATAAAACAAAGCTCCTGGAAGCGACCTCTTATTGTCTAGTAGTCACTCTCAGAAAACCCAGCAGGCTACCAAGAGTATCCTGCCCACACGGCAGAGTCTGGCAAGCTTCTCATGGCGTATTCGATATGCCAAAACCAGTAACAATGATGGGTCTCATTCCCCTGACCCTGAAAGAGCCTCCAATGTGGCACTTGCTAAAATCTCAGGGCTAGGACAATGGAAACGTTACTGGTGCCTGCTCAAGGAAATCCATGCACAACAGGATGACAGTGATGTGATGAATGCCCATAAGTAGAGAGTAAAAAAGAAACTGCCATAGAGGCAAGGTGTGTGGGGGGAAAATACTAGGGACACTGGTGGTGGAAAATGTACACTGGTGGAGGGATGCATATTCAATCATTGTACGACTGAAACTAAAAGAGGAAAGCTTTGTTAAGTGTTGGTCACAAAAAGTTGATCAATGCTAAGAATACAAAAATGCTGAGTACCAAAAAAAAAAAAATTATTCCTCCTCTTGTGCCAGAGAAAGCACAGCAGGTTAATAAGGCACTTGTTATGCACACTGCCCAATGATTCATCCCTGGCATTTCCAAGGCAACTAGGCCCAAGCCTGGGAAAGATGTATCTCAAAGCTCCTTCCACATATCAAAGTTGAGGCTAAAAACACAGAAAATCTTCAAAATTCTTTAATCCATACCCAAAAGAAAGGTGTGAAGGCAGCCAAGGCATCATGACAACAGGGTGAGTGATTAGAGCACTGGCCTCAAAACAGGCTAGAAGGGCCTCGGGATTTTGAGCAGTTGAGTGAGGACAGAAGCCATGTTCCAACATAAATCCTTCATGCTGTAACCAGGTTCCTTTCTACCATAGAGAAGATCTTCTGGTTCTTTCTAATCTTCCATTTCTATCAATGACATGGCATTTTCCTTTTAGGTACATCAATCACCATTCAAGAGGCAGACACTGCACTGTCCAAAACACACACACACACACACACACACACACACACAAAATCACCATTCAGGAGGCAGACACTGCACTGTCCAAAACACACACACACACACACACACACACGCACACACACACACACTCTGATATGAAAAGGGCTGAAAAACACCCACAGGACCCAGAAAACCCTGAAGCAGCCACAAACCCCCTCCTCCTCCTCCTCCTCCAAGGCGCTGACAGGTTTTTCCTCTTTCCTTTCACTGAATCTCCCAATTCGGGAACACTGGACAAGACGCCTTCAAAACGCTTCCGCCTTTACTCCAGGAGCCCGGCTGAAACCACCAGCGCAGCCCAGGTTGGTTTAGATGGGGCCTGTTTAGTCTTCCTCCAGAGCTTTAAAATTCTTTAATCCACACCCCTCCCCCAAGATACGGGGCGAGGGCAGCCAAGAAATCATGGCGACAGGGACAGACGGTGCCCAAGTGGGCAGCAGCTCCTGAGATTTGCTTTGGGACAGTGGCTCGGAGGCCACTCATGGTGCTTTGCAAATCTCGTCCATCTTCCCTTCCTCCCGTTCACAGTTCGGTCCCGTCAACCTTTTGCTTTTGGGTTTGGGGTTTTTTTGGTTTTCTGTTTTGTTGTTGTTGTTGTTGTTGTTTCTTTTCTCCCTTGGGCGGCGAGAAGCTGAGGGGCCCGAAGGCCAGCGAGGCGGCGAGTCGTGAGATTTTTTTTTTTCCTCATTTGGGCGGCGAGAAGCTGAGGAGACCGAAGACAAGCGAGGCGGCGAGTCGTGAGGTATTTTTTTCTTTCTTTTTTTTTTTTTTACCACACGTAACGCTGAAAAACGTGGAGCTGTTTACTAAGCGGCGCCCGGGAGTCACGGAGCGCGGCTCGGCACGCCCCGCGCCGCCCGGCCCCGCCTCCTCCACAGCCGCGGGCGCGTTCGCACCCGGGGGGCGACCCGGCAGCCGCGCGCGCCGCGGACCCCGAGCGCTCGCTCGAGCGCGGCGGCCCCGGAAGCCTCAGCCCCGTCCGTCACGCCCTCGGCCCCGCGCCCCGGACCCGGCGCGCCGCCCGCCCCCGGTTACCTCGGAGGCCCGGGTTGTCGTCTCTGGCGCGAATCTTCCGGATTTTGACCGGACGCCCACTCAGGGTGGACAGGACCAGCCGCTGGCGCAAGAAGTTGCAGCCCGTGTAGCTGAGGGAGTGCGCCTGGCTCGCCATGTGCGCGCCCTCGGCACCGGACCGGCGCGGGGCGGGCGACCCGGGTGCCGCGACTCGAGGCGCGCGCGGGAGGCGCGACCCCCGAGCGACGGCGGCGGCGGCGGCGGCGGCGGCGCGACCCGGGCTCCCTCCGGCAGCCACGCAGCCCAGCAGCCCCCGGCGCGTCCACGTGGTTTGGAACAGGAAGACAGCGAGGCGAGACTCGGGGTCAGAGGGGAGTGGGGCGGGGCCCGTGACCCCCGCCCCGCCTCCACCCCCCCGGTGGGCGTGGCCACCGCGCCGGGCCTCGCCGTCATTGGCGTGCGTCAGAGCAGGAAGAGGCCCGCGCAGCCCCGCCATTGGCCGCTGCCCAAACTGGGCGGAGCCCCAGTGGTGCTGCCTTTCGTCCTCGGCGGGGAGGGGCGGGGCCTCAGCCCCGGCCACAGCGCGCGGTGGGCGGGCAGTCGGGGAGCGGCGGCCCGGGGAGCCCAGCGCGGGAATCCGCCAGTCGTGTTGGTCGGTCTCCACGGGGGTCTCTGGACTTGGAGGCAGCGGAGCGCTGGGACTGGCTGGCTGCGACAGGCCGAGCGCTTGGGCTGACTGCTCAGGGTAAGCCCCGCGACGTCCATGGCATCTTTTTTGGCATCTTTCCTCCTCCTCTCAAGAGGAGAAAAGAGGGTTTGGCACTCGTCGCCCCTTGAAGGCCACTCGCTGGGCTTGTCTGTCAGGGCCCCCGTCCCGGCGCCGTTTCCACTTTATTTTTTTTACTTGCAAATACTGTGCCTTTTTATTTAGAACAGTGTAAACATGACAACTCAACACCACCAATAATTGGAAAAAGACTGGCCATGTGTACACTAATTTCTTGAATGTCCCATGAAAATAAGGGTGAATAAAGCAGACAAGTATTCAGGAGTAGTTTCGGTGCACCTTAGCAGTGGTAAAAATATTGCTTGATTCCAAATGAACATACAACACAATTTATTGTTCTTTTAGGGAGCTTCCTGTGAACTGAATGATCTGGGCTTTGTGATTTCGACAATTTATGATTTTCATATTAACCTCAGAAGCCAATGTTCCTACTTTAAACTTGGAGAAAAACTTGAGAAACGTTGCAAAGCTGGGCGTAGCCTCAACGTGTTACCAAGACCGGAATGTGTCAGTCAGAATACCGAGCTGTTTCTTACCAGACATCAAGCATTGCCCCTTTCAGGTCTTTTCATTCCCCGCATTTCCTTCCAAATCAGATCCACCCACCGTCCCTTCCGTCAAAATGATCCATTGGAATAACCTCACACAGCTTTTCCCTCTTCCCTCACTTCTTCTAATTCATGCACCAAAATCTCCTCAGAGACTGGGTTATCTGATCAACAATCTTCAAGGATGTACAGGAAGCTTTCAGAAGGCTACTAACATAGCCCCTCTAACTGTCAGAGCATTTGCAGCTGGGCCTCTTCTCTCCCTGGGGAAGAACAGAAACGAAAAACAAACTCACCCAAGACTACTTTCCTGGAGATGCTGCCCATTACATTCCACTGGACCAAAGCAGAACTTGAAATAACTTTTTTGTGCTGATAAGGACCCCGGGCTACTGACTAAACAATACTGGCCCTTAGACACTGCAAGGGCCCTTCTTGATCTGGATCCTTCCTCTGCATTACCATAGGAAATAAAACACATCCCTGATGACATTTTGCTGTGTTTTTCTATACATGTAGAGCATATTCATTGGATGTTCCTCACTTGCACATATTTACCATTCTTCTTGAATATATTCGAGTTTCCTGAAAGACTACTAGAATATGTATTAGCTATATCTCTATCTCTGATTGGCATAAAACCAGACCCCCTACTCCCACCTTTTGAAATTGCTCTCCAGTCCATGCTGGTAGACATCCTTCCCAAAGCAAATTGTTTCTATTGCAAATATAAAGCCCCTCTTCTATGCAGTTGTTCCTGTGCTTTTTTTGAGGACAGTAAATCATAGTAATATGAATTTGTAGCCGTTCTTAGACAGTGTCACCAGCACATGAGTTCCAGCATACAAGGAAGAGGACAAGTTAGGAGGTGAAAATGTGAGGGATGTGTAAGTTTTGTGAAGGTAGTTAACCTTATTTGTATAACAACTAGTTGGTTATAAGCAGTCAGTGTCAGGGGCAGAATATGGTGATAAAGTAATATGGAAATAACCGAGGTGCCTATCAATTAACAAGAAAGTGTGGTAAGGGAAGGGTAAACAAAAAGAGATCACTCAAAAGTGGTCCCAAATCCCTGCCTGGTATACTTAGCTTCCCCAATAACATTTTACCAACTTATTTCCTACTACTAACATAAGAACTAGATTGAACAATCAGGCTTAATTTAAAAGTTCCTGTAGAAACCAAGCTAGTGTAGAAAATACAACGATAACTTTAAGATTATGAATTTGAACGAAGGAGAAACTGAAATGATGATTCAATAACAAAGTAAGGTAAGAACTTACAAATATTAGAAAACCTGGATAACAGAAGAAAGCGCTTGCTGGAACCCATCAGAATTGTGTTAAGAAGCAAAGAAACTTTGGCCAAGTACTGGGAGAAAGTAAACACAAACACAAGATTGACATTTGGCTCAGTTTTTCTTTTTGTGTCATTTGCTAATTCCAGGTCCACAGTTCAGGAGCTAAGAAGCGAGAGTTAAAGAGAGTGAGCCGAGCAAAAGGAAATAGTCTAACAAGCTAAGTGTATAGATAAAACTTTCCAGGGCTAGAGGAGTAATTAAAGTCCAGTCAATAAAAGGGTTCTTGGGAATAGGGTAAATCCAACCTTTCAAATGATAATCTCAAAGGGCAAAACCCTGAGAGAAAGGACCAGCCACATAGACCAGCCATCACAAATACTAGAGACTAGCTTTCACAAGGGCTGTCACTGAGAATGAGCTAAAATCAAGTCCCTAAAATAATGGCAAAAGTAATCTCAGCAGAAAGATAGCATTCAGAATGTAAACAGATATCTAAGTTTTCTAAAATAAATTATGCCCAGTATTCAGTTAAACAGGGTCTAAGAGCAAGGAAGCTCAGGTTTGATCCCGGGCACAACATGATCTGCCATCTTAGCATCACCAGGGGTGATCCCTTAGCACAGAGCTAGGAGCAGTACCTGAACCAGTTGTGACACCCTTCCCCCACCCTGCACTCCCACCCTCATCCCTTCACTGCACTACAAAAAACAAAACAAACAAAAACTTAGACTGGAAATGTGGCTTATTTCAGTAGTAGAATAGAGTACAAAAGACTCATTTTTTTTCAATTTTTATAATTTTATTTATTGAATCACTGTGAAAGCAGTTACAAAGCTATCGGGTAAAAGTCTTGATCATACAATGATGAAACACTCGTCCCTTCACCAGTGCACATTCTCCGCCACCAAAAACCCCAGTATACCCCCACCCTTCACCCTCCCCCTACCTGTGGAGCAGATGATTTCCACAGTACTCTCTCTCTACTTAGATTACATTCAATATTTTGACACCAGACCCAACATTGTTATTTGGGATTTTATTCCAACACTCAGATCTGCTGAAAAGGCAACAGTAGACAATTTGTTTTCTATTGCTGGTTATGAATAACATATGTTGTCGCGTGACTACAGCAGTGGCCACACAATTTTGAAATTCCGAAATTTTAACAATTAAATCTGGAGGGATTTTTGCCAAAACCTGATGGGTTCCAAGATTGTTCCTGAGTCTCTTGGATCATGGCCATTAAGCAGCTTGATCAGGTGCCAGAAAGGCCTTTCATGGGCGGCAACTCAGGGTCTCGTTGGGACTAGGAGAAAAGGGCCGGCTCAACCCCATCCCCTGAGGCCCCAAGTGTCTCATTACTGAGGACCCAAACCTGTCTGTCCAATGGCCTCTGGAGGATGGCAGCCACCGAGCCACCTAGGGGGCACAGGCGGTGGGGCAGCACCCTTTTCCCCCCTGGAATGGCCCGGTGACAGTAACCTACAGCGCGGTCCAGACGCATTTCTGCCAAAAGCCACTGGGTTCTGAGATTTGTTTCTGAGTCTCTTGGATTACGGCCATTAAGCAGTTTGATCAGGAGCCAGAGAGGTCGTTCATGGGTGGAGACTCAGGATCTTGATGGGATGGGAAGGAAAGGGCCGGCTCCACCCCCATCCCATGGAGCCCCACCTGTCTTGTCACTGTGGGCCCAAACCTGACTGTCTAATGGCCTCTGGAGGATGGTAGCCACTGAGCCGCCTAGGGGGAGCAGGCGAAAGGACAGCACCCTTTCCCCTCTGGGGTGGCCCAATGACAGTAACCTACTGCGCAGTCTGGACGCATTTCTGCCATAGCCGCTGGGTTTCAAGGTTTGTTTCTGAGTCTCTGGGATCGTGGCCATTAAGCACCTTGATCAGGAGCCAGGGAGGCCATTCGTGGGTGATGACTCGGAGTCTTGTTGGGATGGGGAGGAAAGGGCCAGCTCCACCCACATCCGTGGGGCCCCGCGTGTCTCGTCATGGTGGGCCCAAACCTGACTGTCCAGTGCTTCTGGAGGATGGCGGCCACCGGGCCGCCAGGGCAAACAGGCCAAGGTACGAAACCTATTCCCACCTGGGGTGGCCCAGCGCTGGTAACCTACTGGAGGGAGTGGATGCATTTCTGCCAAAAGCCGCTGGGTTCCGTTATTTGTTTCTGAGTATCTGGGATCATGGCCATTAAACGTCTTGATCAGGAGCCAGAGAGGCCATTCACGGGTGGCAACACGGGCTCTGGTTGGGAGGGCCAGCTCCACACCCATCCCGTGAGGCCCCACGTGTCTCGTCACTGCAGGTGCAAACCTGACTGTCCAATGGCCTCTGGCAAATGGCAGCCACCAAGCCACCATGGGGAGCAGGTGGAAGGACAGCACCCTTTCCCCTCTGGGGTGGCCCAACGACAGTAACCTACATTTCTGCCATAAGCCACTGGGTGTCAAGGTTTGTTTCTGAGTCTCTGGGATCATGGCCATTAAGTAGCTTGATCAGGAGCCAGAGAGGACATTCGTGGGTGGCAACTCGGGGTCTCATTGGGATGGGGAGGAAAGGG